TATTCTTAGCATTAGGTTTATACAATAAAATTTTTTCTGATTTTGTAAGAAATTTTGATTAAATTTAATAAAGATAAAAGCAAGGTCTTACCATTAATATTAAAAAAAAAAAAATTAAATATAATTAAAATACTTAAAAAAAGTATTTAAAAGGATATTTAATAGCTCATATCTATTAAATATATATTATCTTAGTAAAATAAAATTTATTATATAAAATATTAAAATTTTTAGTTTATCTCATCACAATATTTGTCAAAGCATTTAAAAAATACTTGTTAAGTATTTGCTAAATACTTAATAAATGCTTATTAGGTATAAAGTATGTTGGGATATAATTATAAATACTTATTTAAAGTACTTAAAAAATATTTAAAAATTAAATATATTATTAATATAATTTAAAATTTAAAGTGCTTATTTAATATTGCTATTTAGTAAATACAATATTGTGTTTGGTTCAACTTACTGATGCTATGTATAACTTTTTTTTTTTACTATAACAACCTATTTTATTTTCTAAATAAATATGTTTGGCATAATGGCTTATATATAATTACAGATTTATTTTTAGTATATATTTTCTTTTTGCAAAATTTATTAGTAAATAGCAAAATTTAAGGCAAACTCTTTCCCGTAGATCCCAATTTACTAAATAAAAATAAAATTTGTATACAAAGTATATACCGAGTAGCATTAGTGTCAAATTTAACTAAGAAACTAAACTATATTAGGCCTTTGGCAAATAGCTCTCACCAAGTCAATACTAAAAGCTAGCAAAATAGTGAAAAGGGGAAGACCTACACACTATATAACTCAGATGCCTTTGAACTCTTCTTTGCAGTTAACCCAACGCCACCCCTTTACCTAATAGACTCAAGTAGGACATCAGGTAAAACTACTAAACTACCACCAACAGAGGCTAACACAGAGACAAGACCTACAAAAAAGTCCAAAACAGTAGAACCAGTTGAAACTGATACTCACCCAGTTAACTCTATCTCTGTTGACAACTAAAACGCTTCTACAACACAGACACAAAGTGTGGATTCTAGCTTACTCTTATCAAAATGCAGTGTAACACCAAAAATAGAAGCCACAACAATCGTGGAAGAAAATTTAGAAAAAGAGAATGAATATTTCCACAGTGTCTATCAGCTACAGAACCAGATCACCCAGACACAACAGGGCCCCCTGGAAAAATTGCTAGATAATGAGACTAATCAGGAAATAGATCTACAATCTAATGCAACAATAGAGTCACAGCCACCAATGTCATACAGTAACGTGCTTAAAAGAATATAAAGAAGAACAAAGATGAAACCTCAGTTATATAGGCAAATGCAGTTGCACAAACACTAGCTAAGCTACGTGAACTGGAATTTGACACTACTACCTGGCACAATGACAAGATTATTCAGGCGTTCGGAGACAAAGAATTATTAGACGACTTCTGAGTATATAAAATCAAAGCAAAGCCCACACAACACAATTTACCACCTGCAATAGCACAGAAGTTTAAGCACCTTGACACTGCCTTCTTTTGAACCTTCTCTAAAGATAAAGATACAAAACCTGCTTATCAAAAAGAATTCAATAGTTTATTTCAAATAGCAATCGAAAGATACAAGAGACTTCATAATGCAACTTTTATTAACAAATCAGATCTTCCAGAAGCTCAAAATTAAACTGGCAATTGACTTTATTTGCAATATTGACTTCTTATTAGTAAGTTCTCACGATTGTATCTGCTATATATTTTACACTCTAAACTTCGCAAAGATTGAATGTGATCAGGAATTTGAGGATGTACATAGACAAATTGAATCCATCTATACCTGTTTACTGACTCCATTACCTGAGTATCCACAGAAATTGGAGAAGACATAATGAAAATTATGCCATTTTCACTCCCAATAGTAGACTGAAAACTAACAAGAGCTACAGTATTAGCACTAAAAAAAGTCTATTGTTTTATGAAGCTACCCAATTCATACTTCGAACACCCTCTTGAAGAGCTTTCCGAGAACCCAAGCAAGCTACGACCAGAAGTTCGAAACCTGTTTCTGATCACTGAACGTGCAAGTCTCCCATACTTAACACAGTACAAACAAAAACTATTAAAGTTCTATGATGTAGAAAAAAATACCACCTAGCTATTTTCAACTTCCACCAGCAAAACCTAAACTCTCCTCAACACCACAGGAGCTAAACTCTGCAGTTTGGGGCTATTTCTCTTGCAACCCCATTAATAACACAGAGCTGCGATATTATGTAGATATGTTGAGAGAACACTACAGTTTTAAGAGAATGCCAAATGACTACTTTGTACAAAAAATTCCACTACCAGCAGATCCTCTGCAGGTCAATGTCCAAGGGCAATATGAATTTTCAATACAAGACACAACAAAGGCGAAGAAATTTGTGGCTGAAATTCATGCAACCTACAAATATAGCTTACCTCTGCCACTCCAATATATAATAGCCAATCCTACTAATAAGCTATTGTTGCCCCAAGACCCTGAAGAGGTAAAACTAGCAAATTTAACAGTCCCTATAACATCTCCAAAACAGCTAGTAGACATAGCCAGAACATTAAAAGAACACTACTTTTTCTGTGAAATCCCCATTGAATGGATACAAATAATACCCAGGCAGGTGCTTTGCCAGGGACACCTCTTTTGCCAACAACAGTAGAGGAAATTTTGGAAAAACTAGAGTTAGTAGAAAGCCACCATCCTTTATCTTACCAATAACTAAGCAAAAAGAAGTTAAACGCATAGTCAATTTTCTAAAGAAACACTTTAACTTTGCAGCATACCTAATCATATTATTAATATTCCAGATCTGCCCGAACCCCAATGGGACATTTTCAATAACTACTCTCCCCCTGTATGAATACAAACAACAACTCACCGGACTCACAGTCTAACTCAAAATCCACACAAAACAACCAATCTAAAAATACAATCGACAAAATTAAAATAATTAACCACAACGTTCAAGGTCTTAACAATGATATAAAACTACAAGAATGGCTTGAATATTGTCATGAAGAAGAGATCCAAATCATTGTTATGACTGAAACTAAACTACCACAATCCACGGCATCTAGAAAGACCCTTTCTAACCCATTGTATAAAATCTATACAGCTAATAATGATGTTGACCATGCAGTGAATAGAAAGGCAAGCCTTGGTGTTGCCATTGGTATTACACCCTCCCTTAGATCATATATCAGGAATATTAAAACAACTCCAGGCTTGCTATTAATGATCGACTTCCAATTCCCTCACAAACAACAACTACGTTTAATCGCAATATACATTTCATCGGCCCCAACAAACACATCCAATAAAGCCCAGGCAGAAGCAGCACAATATATTCAACAGGCTAGAGCGGCATACCTAGACCTGATAGTAGCTAGGAACTTCAATAGCAATATGAACTGACCAAACCAACCTAGAGTAGTACCTATTCTTACTCATCTTCACCAATCTGGTAATAAGCCTCTTGGAGTTATATAATATCACTGAACTAACATGGAAAAGAAATGAGATGAAAAGTCAAATTGATGATATTTGGGTGAACTCAGAAATTGCACTAGCTTTTGAACCTTTGGCAATAATAGATACAGACTATACAACCAGGAGTGATCATAAAATTCTCCTAACTGAAAGGTACATGTTATCAATGCTGAGTAAGCAAAGAATAAAAAAACAAAAGTGCAAAGTTTATCTATACGACAAAACAACAGAAGATGACTGGATGCAATTCGCTAAACAGATCAGGGAAAATTTGAAAAGCTTCCCAATTCCTAGTCTCAGCATCAACAATCGAAAATCTCTAAACCGCTATACAAACATCTGGTATAGTATAGTGAAGCAAGCAGCTAAAGATAATATACTATCTGCCATTATTGCACCGAAAGTGTTTCATGCACACTCTTTTAAGACAACTCAATTGCATAGAGAACTAAAAGTTGCAAATAAAACTTTAGCATTATTCAAGTCAATTCACCCACCACTCACGCCTGATTACATAATATCACAGATAAATAAGGAATTGAAAACCTGAGTGACCTGACAGAAATTCCTACATCACCGGTTATAAATACACACTTTATTGGTTCCCAATATGCCAATACACTACACTGCAGTCCTTAAAACAAATTCGGAACACAGCCTTTACTGCACGAACAATGGAAAACAATGCAAAGAAGAAAAAAAAGAATAAACTCCTTTGTAGAGCAAAGATATGAGAAGTTTGCATCTAACACCTCTGCGATGATAAACAGTATCCTGTGAAAAAGCAAAAAACAAGTAACATACCATAATATCATAACTCTATCACAGATTATTATAGAACCAAATAGCATCAAAGAAGCAGTCAAAGCACACTTGAAGAATTGGACCAAATTAAATAAAAGCGATCTACAGAAATGGCCAAGTTGGGAGAACTACTACAAACCGAAAACATGTATAACACCTGGAATCTTTAAGGAATTGCTCAAGCCTATAACTATATCCAAAATGCAGCAAGTAATTAATAATACACCACTAGGTAAAGCAACAGGACCCTCAATGATCTCTAACAAAATGCTACGTAAACTACCAATGGCAGCCCTTAAAGCATTGCTGTACATTTTAAATCAATGCCTGTTACTAGAAGATACTCCAAAGGCATGGAAACATAGTCTGGTCTGGCCAATCGCAAAAATATAATACATGGAAGGGGATATGGGACGGACTCACCTCATAACCTTAATTGAACATCCTCCAAAGTGTTCACTAAAATACTAACAAACCGTATAAATAAAATCTTTACTAGCCATCAAATACTAGATCCATCAAATAATGTAGCACTGCCTTATACATCAACCCTAAAACCAATTCAGCGTTTAGCTCAGTTGAGAGAAGATGCAGAAATGAATAAGAAAGAACTATGGATTCTATTACAGAATATGTCGAAGGCATACGATACAGTACACTTGCCACTACTACGATGCGTGCTAAAAAGAATAAATTTGCCAACCAAAATTATCAACACAATAATTAACTGCTTTTCCAACCGTCAAAACCAGGTATTAACAACTATTGGTAGAACTAGTCTATATCAGGTCGAGGACAGGATAGATCAGGGTGAGATCTTGTCACTACTACTCTGGCATATCTACTACAACCCCTAATAAGCCGCATTAATAAGGAGCTTACAGGTTATCAGATGTCCACTAACATTCCAGGGAAAGAGAGTCAAGAAGGCTTAAATACTTCTGTAATAGCTTACATAGATGATACTACCTGGATTGCACAGAGCAGATCACAACTCGAGGAAATTCTAAAAGTGGCAGCATCCTTTTATAAACTCGCCAGCATTACTATAAACCTACTTAAATCTACGTTAACACATAACAGTAACAAAGATTTAAATCCAATTAAGTTACAAGATATTGACATCAATAAAATAGGACTAGATCAAACGCTAAAGTTTCTTGGAACTTATTCAAATTGGTCCAAACGAAAACATACTGTATATAAGGCGATCACTAGAGAAGCAAATCTAGAATTGAAGAAACTGAGATTCTCCATAATTACAGACAAACAAGCAATATATATAATAAATACAGTTATACTGGCCAGAATGAGATACAGACTGCAAAACACCTTCCTTCCCTACTCTTTGTGTAAAAAAATTCTACACAGTTATGTAAACATAGTAAAACAAAAAGCGAACCTAGCACACTCTATATCAGACTCAATGCTCTTTCACCCACTGATATATGGACTTCAGAATATTTCAGATCTACAGAAACAACAACACATCCAAATTATGACCACACTGTTGAATAATCACAACTTTGACTCGTCTAGCACGAAAGTTCACCTACAAAATTTTCAAAATAAGGTATTAACGAATACTTCGATTCTAATAGATAAACTCACCTTCCCAATGGAGGTTGCAAACTTCTTTATGGTACAGATGATAAAGTTGATACATACTGAGAAGCTTAATTATGAACACTACTCCCAGTAGCCTGTTCCAAGAACTATTTGGGGCACACCTATCAATGAACTGTTAAAGACAATGCCAAGACCATCTTATATTAAGTCTTTCTTGAACAAACACAATATTGAGGCAATTAAGCAATTCCTCAATTTTAATACTAATAAGACCTTAGAGTGGATTGAATTTCACCACAACATAAACAAAATCCCACTAGGAAGAATACCATGATAGTTCACTCAGATAAAAGATGCTATCCGAGATATAGAATCACCAACACTATCTTTAAAAACACCAAACCCATACTTCTGGCAGAAGGCCACACCAAAGAAAAATAAGTGGGTCATCACAGCTGATAAACTAATTGGGAAAATCACATTCTATACTCAAGGAACTATTTGCATAAGACACTGGGTACTTGATCAAACGGGACATGTGAAACCATGCCCAAACTGTGAATACAAAATAGCTAACAAAAGACTAGCAACCTGTATAATTGAGAGACGGCCTTGCCAGATTTATAGTATACAGGTAGCAAAATCAAGAAAGTGGCATGTGAACAGATCATTACTTGAAACGAAACCACTACTAATCAGTAGACCTAACCAGCAATACCAATACATCTCAGCTCGACACTTAATAATACACCACTTTACTCAAGCATTCACAGACATTGATGAAAAACTTTGGGAGACCTTTGTAAATCTACCATCAAAGATAGAGTTAGAAGCGAAAATTCTGGTAAAAATTTGGTATAATAACAAAAGAGTAATACCAACAGCAACTATATATATAGATAATAAGCCTATAATTGCTATTCAAAACAAGACCTGGCCAACACCCCAAAAGGTTGGGCTAACAGCCCTATTAATTCTCTTAATACTAACACCCTCTGAATCTAAAATAGTACTTAGTACAAATTCAACATTTATCTGTGATATTAGATTTGACCACTATAGTGAACCTCTTTGGCTACAACAAATTAAAAGACAAGACTATGCAGACTACAAGATAGGCATCGATACATTAATAAATATAAAGTTCTTTAATGTAGTTCTAAATTCAATTACGCCAACTACCGAACACAATCCTGACCCGGTTTTAACAGAATTCATTCTATCAAAAGCCCTAGTAAAAAACTTCTCAGCATCACTAAACACTCAAACCTTACCACTGACCTTAAATAACACTATAAAATCACTAATAAGGACAGTGAGGATGAATAACTAGCTACAACAAAAAAGGATAAGGAACTGGCTCCAACCAGAAATAGAATAGCGGTTAACCTATGAATATATAAACTTCAAAGACAAGCCTCTTTCCAGAGGAACTGAACCATAAAAGTCGAAGTTTAAGATATTCAAAATGAAGATGCTACTAAATGAACTCCCAACCTTTGAAAACCTCAACAAAAGATATCCAGAAAAATACGAATAACCAACCTGTAGAAGATGCCTATTCGAAATTGAAGACAATACACATTGGCTAACATGTAACTCCAACACAACCACTATGAGCTAAATAATATTGCAAGCTTGTAACAAACTACAGAAATCAAATGAACTCTTGTACCAACATATTCAAAGGTTTATAGCGAAATACACTAACATTTATATAATGAATAAGACACCTATAGGAGTAATCACTTCCGATACACGAACACCCAGAAATATAATTAACGCTATAGAGTTATACAACATGATAGCAAAACAAATACACGAGCTAATCTGGGTACCATCGAGGGTTGCAGTATATAGTTCGCCAGTTCAAAATAACAATAGTACAAATAATATGGTAGCTCAAGTAAACCAGAACCAAGAAGATGAAATGTACCATATTAAAGTAAAAGGATATAACGACTTCAATAAATAGTTAGATAGACATATTAGTTATAATTTTTCTCTCTTCGATATATATAATATAGTCTAGAGATCTTGGATCTATCTAGCTAAGATTTAGGTCTAAAGTAAAATGGCAAAGATGTCCGAGCTTTATCTTCCCTTTCACTTAATATAATATATCATTGCAATGAAAATTTGTAATTAATATAATTATATATAATAAAGAACTGGAGGAAAAGACCTCTCTTAAAAAAAAAAAAAATAGCAAAATTTAAAAATTTTACAAATTTTTAAAAAGTTTTCTAAATGATTTTATTTTACTATT